AAATATAAGATAGTTGTAGTTTTGTGGATTGGTTTCTGTGTCCTCTATTCTGTACCATTGGTCCACCCACCTGTTTTGGTACCAGTACCATGCTGTTTTTGTTACTATCGCTCTGTAGTATAGTTTGAAGTCTGATATCGCTATACCGCCTGATTCACACTTCCTGCTTAGCATTGTTTTTGCTATTCTGGGTCTTTTATTTTTCCATATGAATTTCATGATTGCTTTCTCTATTTCTACAAGAAATGCCGTTGGGATTTTGATTGGCATTGCATTAAACCTATAGAGAACTTTTGGTAATATCGCCATTTTGATGATGTTAGTTCTGCCTATCCATGAACAGGGTATATTTTTCCATCTTCTAAGATCTTCTTCTATTTCTCTCTTTAGGGTTCTGTAGTTTTCATTGTATAAGTCTTTCACCTCTTTTGTTAGGTTGATTCCCAAGTATTTTATTTTATTTGAGGATATTGTGAATGGAGTGGTTGTCCTCATTTCCATTTCAGCGGATTTGTCGCTGATATACAGGAATGCCTTTGATTTATGCAAGTTGATTTTATAGCCTGCCACTTTGCTGAATTCATTTATTAGCTCTAATAGTTTCTTTGTAGACCCTTTTGGGTCTGCTAGGTATAGAATCATGTCACCTGCAAATAGTGATAATTTAAGTTCTTCTTTTCCTATTTTTATGCCTTTAATTTCTTTCGTCTAATTGCTCTGGCCAGTGTTTTGAGAACTATGTTGAACAGAAGTGGTGAGAGAGGGCATCCCTGTCTTGTTCCAGATTTTAGAGGGAATGCCTTCAATTTTTCTCCATTCAGAATGATGCTAGCCTGAGGCTTAGCATAGATTGCTTTTACAATATTGAGGTATGTTCCTGTTATCCCTAGTTTTTCTAGAGTTTTGAACATAAACGGATGCTGTATTTTGTCGAATGCTTTTTCCGCATCTATCGAGATGATCATATGGTTCTTATTTTTAAGTCTATTGATGTGGTGAATAACATTTATTGATTTCCGTATATTGAACCAGCCTTGCATCCCAGGGATGAATCCTACTTGATCATGGTGCACAATTTTTTTTGATATGTTTTTGTATCCGATTCGCCAGAATTTTATTGAGGATTTTTGCATCTAGGTTCATTAGAGATATTGGTCTGTAGTTTTCTTTCTTTGAAGTGTCTTTGTCTGGTTTAGGTATCAGGGTGATGTTGTCCTCATAGAATGAATTTGGAAGTTCTCCCTCTTTTTCTATTTCCTGAAGTAGCTTCAAAAGTATTGGTATTAGTTCCTCTTTAAAGGTTTTGTAAAACTCTGCTGTATACCCATCCGGTCCTGGGCTTTTCTTAGTTGGTAGTCTTTTGATGGTTTCTTCTATTTCCTCAATTGATACTGGTCTGTTTAGGTTGTCTATATCCTCCTGACTCAATCTGGGCAGATCATATGACTTCAGAAATTTATCGATGCCTTCACTATCTTCTAATTTATTGGAGTATAAGGATTCAAAATAATTTCTGATTATCTTCTGTATTTCTGAAGTGTCTGTTGTGATATTGCCTTTTTCATCCCGTATGCTAGTAATTTGAGTTATCTCTCTTCTTCTCTTCATTAGCATGGCTAACGGTCTGTCGATTTTATTTATTTTTTCAAAGAACCAACTTTTAGTTTTGTCAATTTTTTCAATTGTTTCTTTTGTTTCGATTTCATTAATTTCAGCTCTGATTTTAATTATTTCTTGCCTTCTACTTCTTTTGCTGTTGTTTTTCTCTTCTTTTTCTAGGATTTTGAGATGAAGTATGAGATCATTTATTTGTTGGTTTTTCCTTTTTTTAAGGAATGAACTCCAAGCAATGAATTTTCCTCGTAGCACTGCTTTCATCATGTCCCATAGATTCCGATATGTTGTGTCTGTGTTTTCATTTATCTCTAAGAATTTTTTAATTTCCTCCTTGATGTCTTCTATAACCCATTGATCATTCAGTAACCTATTGTTCATTCTCCAAGTGATGCATGATTTTTACTTCCTTCTTTTATCGTTGATTTTCAGTTTCTTTCCATTATGATCAGATAAGATGCATGGTATTATCTCTACTCCTTTATATTGTCTAAGAGTTTTCCTGTGACATAATATATGATCTATTTTTGAGAAGGATCCATGTGCTGCTGAAAAAAAAGTCTAACTGCTTGATGTTGGGTGGTATATTCTATATATGTCAATTAAGTCTAGGTTATTAATTGTGTTATTGAGTTCTATAATTTCCTTATTCAACTTTTGTTTGGAAGATCTGTCCAGTGGCGAGAGAGGTGTGTTGAAGTCTTCCATGATTATTGTATGGTGGTCTATTAGACTCTTGAGCTTGAGAAGAGTTTGTTTGGTGAACATAGCTGCACCATTTTTGGGGCATATATATTTATGATTGTTATGTCTTGTTGGTGTATGGTTCCCTTGAGCAGTATGTAGTGTCCCTCTTTATCCCTTTTGATTAACTTTGGCTTGAAATCTATTTTATTTGATATGAGTATGGATACTCCTGCTTGTTTCCAAAGTCCATATGAGTGATATGATTTTTCCCAACCTTTCACCTTCAGCCTATGTATGTCTTTTCCTATCAAATGCGTCTCCTGTAGGCAGCATATTGTTGGGTCTTGTTTTGTGATCCATTCTACTAGCCTGTGTCTCTTAATTGGTGAGTTTAAGCCATTAACATTTAGGGTTATTATTGAGATATGGGTTGTTCTTCCAGCCATATTTGTTTATTTCTGTTACTAAACATGGTTTGTTTTCCTTTTTGATTATTTTCCCCCCCTTTACTGTCCTACCTCCCACTGTTGGTTTTCATTGTTATTTTCCATTTCCTCTTCCTGTAATGCTTTGGCGAGGATGTTTTGAAGAGATGGTTTTCTAGCTGCAAATTCTTTAAACTTTTGTTTATCGTGGAAGGTTTTAATTTCATCTTCCATCCTGAAGCTTAATTTCGCTGGATACACAATTCTTGGTTGGAACCCATTTTCTTTCAGTGTTTGAAATATGTTATTCCAGGATCTTCTAGCTTTCAGAGTCTGTGTTGAAAGATCAGCTGTTATCCTGATTGGCTTACCCCTAAATGTAATCTGCTTCCTTTCTCTTGTAGCTTTTAAAATTCTCTCCTTATTCTGTATGTTGGGCATCTTCATTATAATGTGTCTAGGTGTGGATCTCTTATGATTTTGCACATTCGGCGTCCTGTAGGCTTCTAGGATTTGGGATTCTGTCTCATTCTTCAAGTCTGGGAAGTTTTCTCGTATTATTTCATTGAATAGATTGCTCATTCCTTTGGTTTGGAGCTCTATACCTTCCTGTATCCCAATGACTCTTAAGTTTGGTCTCTTTATGTTATCCCATATTTCTTGGATGTTCTGCTCATGGTTTCTTAACAGTCTTGCTGAGCTGTCTATGTTCTTTTCCAGTTGAAATACTTTGTCTTCATTGTCTGATGTTCTATCTTCTAAGTGTTCTACTCTGCTGGTAGTATTCTCAATTGAGTTTTTAAGTTGGTTTATTGCTTCCTGCATTTCTAGGATTTCTTTTTGTTTGTTTTTTATAACCTCTATCTCCCTGTATAGTTGATCTTTTGCTGCCTGGATTTGTTTGTGTAATTCATTGTCGAAGTGATCTTTCATTGTCTGATTTTGCTGTCTAATGTCTTCCTTGAGACTCCAGATCATCTGAAGCATGTATATCCTGAATTCTTTATCTGACATTCCATCTGCTGCAGCTGTTACCTCTTCTAAAGTTGAGTTGACCTGCATTGCTTGTGGTCCTTTCTTTCCTTGTCTTTTCATATTGCTTGCGTTTCTTTCTGCTTGGTGAAACTGTTGTGTTTTTGAAAAATATTTCCCCCTATATATTTATATTGCTCTTGTATAGTTGAAAAGTCTCCCTTGCAGGGTTGGGCGGCGGTCTGCTTACCTTGCAGGCACGGGCGGCGGCTGTGCTCTGCCCCTCCTCCAATTGGTGTGACTTGTCTACCACACCCGCGGACCGCTGGGCCTGTTCCAGGCGCGGGCGAAGGCTGTGCTCTGCTCCTACTCTAATTGGGGTGATGTGCTTACCACCCCGGCAGGCTGTTGGGCCTGTTCCACCGGTCGGTCGCAGGTCTGCCTACCTTGCGGGAACGGGCGGCGGCTCTGCTCTGCCCCTACTCCAAATGGGGTGACGTGTCTGTCGCGCCGGTAGGCCACTGGGCCTGTTCCGCTGGTCGGTCGCAGATCTGCCTACCTTTCGGGCGCGGGTGGCGGCTCTGCTCTGCCCCTACTCCAATTGGGGTGTCGTGACTACCATGCCGGCAGGTTGCTGGGCCTGTTCCGGGCGCGGGCGGTGGCTCTGCTCTGCCCCTACTCCAATTGGGGTGACGTGTGTACCACACCGGCAGACCGCTGGGCCTGATCCGCCAGTCTGTCGCAGGTCTGCCTACCTTGCAGGCGCGGGCGGCAGCTCTGCCCTGCCCCTCCTACCACGCCCACGGTCTGCTGGGCCTGTTCTGCCGGTCGGTCGCAGGTCTGCCTACCTTGCGGGCGCGGGTGGCAGCTCTGCTCTGCCCCTACTCCAATTGGGGTTAAGTGACTACCACACTGGCGGGCCGCTGGGCCTGATCCGGGCGCGGGCGAAGGCTCTGCTCTACCCCTACTCCAGTTGGGGTGACGTGTGTACTACACTGGCAGGCCGCTGGGCCTGATCCGCCAGTCTGTCGCAGGTCTGCCTACCTTGCAGGCGCGGGCGGCAGCTCTGCCCTGCCCCTCCTACCACGCCCACGGTCTGCTGGGCCTGTTCTGCCGGTCGGTCGCAGGTCTGCCTACCTTGTGGGCGCGGGTGGCGGCTCTGCTCTGCCCCTACTCCAATTGGGGTCACGCCGGTGGGCCGCTGGTCCTGTTCCGGGCGCGGGCGGCGGCTCTGCTCTGCCCCTCTGGCTTGATGATAAAGTGAGAGATACTCGGGTGTTTGTGACTCACTTTCTTTACCAGGAGACCAACTGTTTCTGTCGCCGATGGTATCGAAGAAGTGCTCTCCTCCGCCGCTTTCTGATGACATCAGATCTCTGCCATGTTGGTATCCCATGCGAATGGCAGCATTTCGTTCCCTTTGCCGGGTGACCAAAACAACGGGTGAGTCCTGACCGGCCCTCACAAGCCCCGTCTCAGTCCTGTTGCCACTGCCTATGAAGGCTCGGTTGGTATTTACCTCCACTGTATTCAGCAGGACCCGGACTGAGAAGCAGTTTCCGCGGATTCTTTAGCCCTGGGCCAGAGCAGTTCCGGGAGCCGGAATTCGGCCGCTCCGTGCTCAGTGTATGTTCTGATAGGAGCAGGCTCCAAGAAGCAGTTTCCGCGGGTTAATTAGCACTGAGCCTGAGTAAGTTGTCTGCGAGCCGCAGGCGAATGGCAGCCTGAAATTACCTGTTCTATGGCTGAATGACCTGTGATCAGTCGAAAACAGGGATGGTGACGTCAGCTCTCCAAGATGGTGGCCGCTGGCTTCCTCTGTGGTCTGACCGGTGTGGAGAACCGAATTGGACCGCTTCCTTACCCCGTCTCAAACCTAGAATTCAGCACTTAGTACGGTGATTGCACAGCTGGCAGAAGCCCACCGAAACTGCAGCGCTGTATCTTTGCGTTGCTATCTCCTCCCAGCGCACGCCGAAGACTCTAGCTGCGGGGCGATTTGCTGAATAAGCAGTGTGACCCTCCGTGCGGACAAATCTCTCGCGTTTGAGCCCCCATAGCTGATCCTCGTGCGATGGAAATCCTTCCTCTAGGTTTTGGAGCACTCCAATTTTGCTGGAAATTCCTAACAAGATAGCTTTTAGCCTTTCTCACTCGTCATTCTCCCACACAGTGACGCAGTACACGGGGGTAATGCACTCCCTTCGCCACCATCTTGAAAAAGCCCCATAGTATTCTTTTTATCAGTGTGCTTATCTGTATATCTTGATTACCTTAGTTTTATCTTAAATCTTGAAATAACATAATGTAAGACTCTCAGCCTTGTTGTTTTCCTAAGAATTATTTTGGCTTGTTTAGGTCTTTGCATTTTCATATGAATATTAGAATAAGCATACTCGTTTCTGTTTAAAGATTTCAATTAAGGTTGTGTTAAATCCAGATGAGCTTGGGGAGAATTGACATCTTAAATTTAGTCTTGCTGTGCATGGGCATAATATCTCTCTCCATTTAAGTAATCATCTTTAATTTTCAGAAGATTTTAGAGTTTTAAGCATATATGTATTGCATATATTTCATCCCTATATACTTAATGTGTTTTGAAGTTATCATAAATGGTATTCATATGTTCATTTTAATTGTTTATTGTGTCCATATAGAAATACATTTATTTTTGTATATCGAGTTTATCTACTATTACCTTACTAAACTTAATTATTAGTTCAATTAGTTTTTCTTATAGATCTCTGAATGTAGATGATCATGTCATTTGTGATTAAAGGCAATTTTGCCTCTTTGTTTCCAGTCTGTTATGGGAGCAATGAGGTCTGTTATGGGGGCAATGACCAGCATCTCATTGGGGGGGTTCTTCTTCCTGCTGAGGAGGGTGTAAACCACCTGAAAACTTAAAAGTCTGAAATAATTAGTGAAGAACAAAAGACAAAGAGTCAGAAATGTATTTACAAAAGCAGAGCCCCCTGATAGGTCCATTCCACACGACAGCTGGAAGTAGACAAAGGAAAGATGTCTCCAGTGGTTTATTTAAGGGGGTATATCAAAGACAGGGATAAGATTTAGGGGCAGAGTCTTGCTTTGTGGTATCTTATAGTCAGCAGGTTGATTGGCATCTTGGCAGCACATCCATCTCAGGTGCTGTATGGGACATGGCAGAGCAGGATGGAAATTCACAATGTGTCATTCCCAGATACCAGATGTTCTTATCACTAGGCTCAATGCACGGTGATTCACATGCAGCCCATGGATGGATCGCAACAGTCTATAATCTTTAAAGAAAAAAAAAATTTGAGGTTAAATTTTTTGTTGTTGTTATTGATCTAATTAGTTATACGTGACGGTAGAATGCATTTTGACACATCATACGTAAGTAAAGTATAACTTCTCATTCTTCTAGTTGTATATAATATGGAGTTACACCAGTCATGTAATCCAATATGCACATGTAATCTTATTTATATGTTTTCATTATCTTGCTCATTTAGCTAAAATGTTTTTAAAATTGGAGAGCTCAGATCTGTAGACATTTTTGCCTTGTTCTTGATCTTAGTGGAAAATATTCAATATTTTATCACTAAGTAGAATGTTGAATGTTTGTTTTTCATAGATGACCTTTATCAGTTTGGAGAAATATCCTTCTATTTACAGTTTGTGAGAAATTTTATTGTTAACAGCTATTGAATTTTGTCAAAAGTTGTTTCTGTATCTATTGAGATGATCATACAGTTATTCCTTTTTAGACTGATTTTTTGAATGTTGAACCAACCTTGCATTATTTGGATAAACCCCATTTGGTCAATATGTATTGTCTTTTAATATTGTTTTGCTAATATTTGAACAAAGATTTTTGCATCTTTGTTCATGAGAGGGATATTGTTTTTAGTTTTCTAGTAATGTCTGCCTCATTTGGTATCAGGGTAGCCATGGTCTCAGAAAATGAGTTTATAAGTGTTGTCTGTTTTCAAAAAGAGTGTGTCTTCTCCTTTAAGGGTTTATTGTTGTTTTTGTTTTTTAAGTGCTGGGAATTGAACCCAGAGCTTGGTACATGCTAAGCAAGCATTCTCCAACTGAATCCTGTTTCCTCCTTTGAATACTTACAAGAATTCACCAGTGAAGGTGAATTCATCTGAGAGTGGAGTTTTATTTGTAGAAAAATTTCTAACTCACAATTGAAATCTTCACCCCATAAGTGTATCCACTATTCTTACTTCTAGCACCACAGACTAATTGTTCAGTAAACTTTTTACTTTAGAATCATTTTAGAATAGTACTGAGAGTTTGTGTACCCCACCCTTAATTTTCCTCTTTGTTCCTCAAGTACTATAATACATCTATCAAAACTAAGAAACTGACATTGATACATTACTAGTAACTTTATTTGGATTTCATCAGCTTTTCCATTAATAGCCTCTTACTATTCCAGGATCAAATCCAGGATATCACATTGCATTTAGTTTTCGCATTTCACTGTCTTCTTGAGTGTGATAGTTTCTCAGTCTTTCTTTGACCTCGACTGTCTTGAGAATTACTGGGCAGGTAGTTTGTAGAATGTCCCCCAGTCTAGATTTGCTGCTGTTTCTTACATTAGACTAGGGTTATATAATTTTGGAAAGAATCCCACAGAGGTGAAATGCCCTTTTCATCTTTTCACATCAGGGGTACCTGATGCCCACATGACTTCACTGCTGCTGTTAATCACTACTTGGTTAAAGTACTGTTTGTTGGCCAAATTTCTTCATTTTAAAATGATTCTTTTTTTACTTTCTGTTTTTTAGAAAAAAGTTATTAAGTCTAACTCTCACACTGGGAAGCAGGAAGTATCTACATGAGATTTGAGATCTTTCTGAAAGGAAGATTTATGTCTTGCCTCTCATTTGTTTATTCAGCCATTATTTCAGTATGGACTCATGTATATTAATTCTATACTTTTAGTTCTAATCTACTGCTATGTTTCTATTTTGTTGCTTAGATCTTTTACTATTGGGACGGGTTTCAGCTTGGTGCTTGGGTGTCCCTTTCAAATGTCTTTATCTTTATTTTTTGAGCACTCCCTTACTTTATGGTACTATAAGATACGCCAGGCTCACCTTATATTTCCTTTGGCCTAGCTGTAGAATCAGCCATATCCCTAAGGAGCTATAATTTCTTTATTGAGAATTATATTTAGAAACTAAAATTGGTGCTGGATATGTTCATTACTGTTGGGATGACATTGCTTTTAGGCCTATCTGAGGGAACAGAGCTATGTTATATGTGTCTATATACTAACCCATGTATGTGCACACATGTTTCATTGTTTTTGTACCTACCTATTTGTGTGTGTGTGTGTGTGTGTGTATGTATGTATATATATTTTTAATTTATTTTTTAGTTGTAGTTTGACATAATACCTTTATTTTATTTTTATGTGGTGCTGAGGATCCAACCCAGGGCCTCGCACGTGCTAGGTGAGCGCTCTACTGCTGAGCCACAACCCCAGCCCAACATGGGCTTATTTTGATGTCTTCAATTTTAATCCAGCACCGCAGGATTCAGTCTAGTTGTCTTTCCTTGCTTTTCTGTGATTTTCATTCTGACAGTAAAAAACATTATCCATTTACTTATTTGTTCAGTCCAAACTGCCCAAGAAAAACAATTTCAGAATTATTAATCTGTACCTGTGGAGAAATAAAATTTCCAATTAGAGCCCAGTGTTTATGTACAGTATCTTTTGTCATTAGCCTTACAATTTCAAGTCAAAACACCATTAAAGGGCTGAGATTGTGGCTCAGCAGTAGTGCGCTCACCTAGCATGAGCGGGGCCCAGGTTTGATCCTTAGCACCACATAAAAATAAAGGCATTGTGTTGTGTCCATCTACACCTAAAAAATAAATATTAAAAAAAAACCCATTAAAGTTAGGGCAGCTCCTTTTTTTAAATTACCACATTTCAGTGTGCAATTATGATATACTTTTTTTTATAATGCAGTTAGTCATTTAAAGCAATACACATTTCATTTTGGGATCTTCTGACATTTGGTTGATTTTTGTTGTTGTTCAGTTAGCATTTATGGAAGTTCACTTTTCATAATGTGCAGTTCTATAGGTTTGGACAGATGCATAGTGTCATGTATCCACTGCTGTATATGTAAAACAGATTCTGCATCCCCACATGTTTCCTTGTGTATTCCCTATATAGTCAACCACTCTTCGCTTCTCTAATTCTTGGTAATTACTAATCTGTTTCCTGTCCCTATACTATACATTTTCCAGAGTATAATGTGAATGGAGCAATTCAGTATAATCATTGAATTTGTGTATGGCTTCTTTCAATTAGTAAAAATACATTTAAGATTCACCCAGGATGTGTGAATTAACAGTTCAGTATTTTTTTTGAGGGGGGGGAGGGTGTAGCAGGGATTGAACTCAGGGACACTCAACCATTGAGCCAC